CCCTCCCAGCCCCATGCCACCACCCCCCTCTGCCCTGTCCCAGCCCAATGACACTGTCCCCCTGGACCCCCTCACAGCCCAATGCCACGGTCCTCCCATACCCTGTCCCATCCCAATGCCACCAACCCTCTGGGATACCTCCCAGCCCAATGCCACCAACCCCCTGTGCCCCCTCCCAGCCCCATACCACTGTCCCCCCGTGCCCCCTCCCCACACAGCCTTTCCCTCCCCACATCCCCACACCCTCGCTGGTTCCTAGGGGACACTGGCGGTTTGTGGGTCCCAGCCGTGAGGTGGCCCCAGCGGTGACCCCCCCAAAACCCCTCGGAAATGGGGGAATTGCTGCTGGATCCTCCACATCTCCCTCCAGTTCCGGGCACTCGCTCTCCCTCGGCCCGTCACCCCCTTCCCGTCCCCGGGGCCGTGACTGTCCCCATCGGTGGTGGCCTTTCCCTGCTGCCACCCCGATGCCGGGCCCCCCCCCCTTACCTGGCCCAGGTGAGCACACCTGGGCGGTGACAGACAGCCCCGGCCACCAACGGGCTCGAAGAGGAAGGGCTGTGGCCACCAATGGGCGAGCAGGGGACAGCCCCTGCCAGGGCTGGGCAAGGCCCGGAAATCCCAGTTGGCCCAGTGGGAGCGGGGGCTGCGGAGCTGGGCGAGATGCGGGGCAAGGACGATGAGTACGATTATCTCTTCAAAGGTGGGTCTCCTGCCCCGCCGGTGCCGCTCCGGCCACGCCTGTGATGAGCTGCGCTCGGTCTCAGCCCCTGCTGCTCCGGCCGTGCCTGCGATGAGCTGTGCTCGGTCTCAGCCCTCTGCCGAGCAGTGCTGCCTCCATCCAGCACCCTCGGGAAGGAGCTGGAAGCCGGGGCTTTGGCTTGTACTGGGATATAACACCCGGCTCCCAGTGCTGGGGGTCTGGGGGGGCTTGCTGGGGGGCTCCCCTGTGCTGGGCAGAGGTGGGGGTGGGCATTGGTGGGGCTGGGGCTTCGGGACGGTTTGCATAGAACTGGTCTGTGGCTGTTTGTGGCCCTAGTGCTAATTAAAGCAGCTCGTTACTACTGGGAGGGGGATGGGGGGCAGGTCTGGAGCCCTCCCCTGGGTGCAGCAGGCAGGGGAGGGCTGGCCGTGCCCGGGGCAGGGGGCTAGTAGCCCAGGGAGGGGGGGGCAGTGGCGAAGGCTGGTCACGGTGGGTGACCCCCCCCTCGGGGGGGGTTTGGGGGGTCCCCTCCCCGTGGCTGGGGCAGGAGGAGCGGTTCTGGGGGGCTGAGGGAGCGTTCCCCAGAGGAAGAGGAAGAGTTGTCCTTCCCGGCGCTGGTCACGGGGGGACATCCCCGGTGTGCGAGGGGGGACAAGGCTGGGCCCTCGGGGACACGAGGCTGGTTTTCCCAGAGCCCAGCAGCCCCATC